GATCCCGGGACTCCAGGATCATGACCTGAGCCGAAGGCAGTCGCTCAACCAACTGAGCCACCCAGGCGCCCCTCTTTCTTTTTAAAATATGTAAATTAAAAGCAGGGCTGCAAAGCGTGAGAACTGGCCCATGCAGCTTGTCCAGTCTTTGGGAAGGGCAGGCACTGAGAAGCGAGGGGGCCAAAACCATCTCAGCATGAGAACTGCAGTCAGTGCTGTCATGAGTGAAGAGTCAGAATTATGAACAGTCCCCCAGGGAGTCAGCCATTTACCTGGGAATGGGGTGTGAAGGTTCCAGATTGAACAGTTCTGCCTTCTGGGCTTCTCTGGTTCTCATTGGCCTTTGTTGTCTCCGTATTTCCTTGAACTGCGTCCTGTAGGTGCCATTTGCATCTGCTACTACCGTTCCACCCCTCTGCCTTAGCCCCACTCCTTTCGCTTCATGCTTCCAGGTTCTGTTTGTTTTACTCAGGAACAATGACAGCAAGTTAGGAGGAGCAACAGAGTTAGGAGAAAAACCAAAGAAATTGACAGGCTCATTTGACCCAATGCTTTCATATTTGTGTAATTTTACATAAATTTATATAAACTTAAAATAATTACACCTGGCTGTCTTGTTGATAGAATATGAATGGACCTTTAAGGAAAAACCCATTAAAAAAAAAAAAAAGATAGGGGCTCCTGGGTGGCTCAGTCGTTAAGCATCTGCCTTCGGCTCAGGTCATGATCCCGGGGTCCTGGGATCGAGCCCCGCATCGGGCTCTCTGCTCAGCGGGAAGCCTGCTTCTCCCTCTCCCACTCCCCTGCTTATGTTCCCTCCCTCGCCGTCTCTCTCTGTCAAATAAATAAATCAAATCTTTAAAAAAAAAAAAAGATAAACTCCTTTTCAGTGGCCTAATTAACAAGGAACAATACCAAGCCTAAAAGTGGACAGCAGACTGCATTACAAGGAGAGTATACCCAGCCTGTGCATGATCTTCATAAGGATAGTCTTCTATACAGGAGTATTCCCTTTTCTGTGGGAAATGTGAACACAAAGGCCCTTCACAGTTTATCTAATTTCATGGCAAATTGAATTAAAGTATTAATATGAGAGTAAGTTTTTCCCCACCCCACTTAATTTATCAAGAACTTTGCTTAGGTGGGATCTTAAAAAAGAAAAAGAAAGAAAAAAAGAAGACAAGGGATCTGAGACCAAAATCTCGAGTTAGAAATTTTAGTTCCTAGGCTGGGCTCTGCCTGGGAATTGCTTTTAAGGTCCCATTCGAATATATGCTGCTCGATTTTCTCTTTTGAAAGGATAACTAGACTACCACAGTGATATTAAAATACCATATTGAAGGGCGCCTGGGTGGCTCAGATGGTTAAGCGTCTGCCTTCGGCTCAGGTCATGATCTCAGGGTCCTGGGATCGAGTCCCGCATCGGGCTTCCTGCTCCTTGGGAGCCTGCTTCTCCCTCTGCCTCTCTCTCTCTGTCTCTGTCTCTCATGAATAAATAAATAAAATCTTTAAAAAAAAAAAAAATACCATATTGAAAAAGTGATTTATGATCCAGAGACCGAAATTCCAATGTAGGAACCAGAAACATTTCAAGCACTTTAATTAAAAAACTGGTTTCAAGTGGCACTATGTTCAACTTCAACCCACATTACATAGCAATTCAGAAAGACTCTTGGGTTTCAGGATTGGGAGAAAATGGGGCTTTCTGAATCTGCTCTTTGGGAGGCTGTCTGTAGTTCCTATCAGTTCCAACCTTAGGGTGCCCCAGTTACCCTAGGGATCTTTAAGTCAGTTCCGTTCAGTACAACCCAAAGGTAGGACCCTCTTGAAATAGTCATTCTCAGCTTACCACATTAATAGACCAATAGCCTGGACCTTTCTTGCTTCATCCTATTCCAGATGTCAGGGCTAAAGCATGTTTGCCTGTTTATTGCCATGGGGCTTTGCATATAAGGCATTTTTTGGGTCCCTGACATGTATCCCAAATGCCATGACTCTTGGCTTCACCAGTGTGTACAAGTTGCTTATAAACCAAATCAAGATGTAAACAACAGCTGGATTCTTATTTTAAAGGCGTCACATGATTCCAGGGGGAAATCAGCTTTCAGGCCTTTGCCTCACATTGGATTTGTCTGTGGTTTCCCCATATAGTGCTGGAAAGCCACGTGGTTATTAAGGGTTTGAGTCAGCTACTCAGATAAGACAGGCATTCACATGCCCACAGTACAGAATGACCTCACTGAGCAACTCATGTTTCTAGGATGTTGGGAAATTCAGACTTGCTGGAAGACCTTGTCCTTATGATGTGAGGATGTCAGTGGTTGATATGATTCAGCAGCAAATTCTCATCTGAATTTCAAAACAATTGGCCTCTTGTTCAAGGGGACATCTAAATTTTAGATCATCTGCTTGCCACAGTCTTCAGAGCAGTTTAATCCCTGAACCAATTCAAATAGAATAGATTAAAATTAGATCTTCTCTCTCCAAGAAAACTTTTTTATTTTTTTAAAGATTTTCTTTATTTATTTGAGAGAGAGAATGAGATAGAGAGAGAGAGAGCATGAGAGGGAGGAGGGTCAGAGGGAGAAGCAGATTCCCCGCCGAGCAGGGAGCCCGATGCGGGACTCGATCCCGGGACTCCAGGATCATGACCTGAGCTGAAGGCAGTCGCCCAACCAATTGAGCCACCCAGGCGCCCCAAGAAAATCATCTTAGATGAGTTGGCATTTTCAATGCACCAAGGCTTTCATTGCCCTTAGTGACTACGACAGGGGGATTGTGCCTTAGTGAATATGACGGGGGATTCTGCAGGCCATTTTTCACACAGCCACCTATGCTCCCCAACTCCGCTTCTTTGTACCCAGCTGACATTTCCACTTTGTCTGGCTTCTGGGTCTGATTGAGTCAAGGGCCTAATATTGCAGTCCCAGGTTGGTCATGGACAAAGCAATCATCTATATAATTGGAAGACATTATTAATAGGTTTATCAGAGTAAAGTTTTTTTTTTTTTTTTTCTTTTCTGGGTCATTTAAGGACAGTTCCCATGGGCTCCTGAAAAACAGTTTATTCTGCTAGAGGACTCTTTGCACAGAGCTTAATGAGATATTAATGCAGAGCCTAACAGAAACCTAAAAGTCATTCACAGGGTTGTCTCATTTTCTACAGACGTATTTCACTAAACAAATACAATACAGACTTGAACATCTGGAATTATTGAAAAAAATCAGGTGGTAACGATTCACTTTACAAAGATTCACTATTTAATTATGAACTCCCCTAGTGCATTTAAGTCACTCATTTGTTGAAGTTTGTCTATTTGAAACCATCTGCTTCAATCAGCTGTTTTGGTTTGGTTTTTTTTTTTTTTAAACAGACCAGGATCATGTTCTTTAAATAGAGATGAAAATAAGCTATTAAAGTGTAGAATTCAGAACCATTCAATATTGTCATCATCTCATTCTAGTTCCCCTTCTCCTTTGACAAAAGAAAAGTTTCCTGAAGGGGCTCCTGGGGGGAAAGAATTTGGCTCTTTCCAATTAGCAAGACCTCATAGGCTAACAACATTTTCGTCTTCCCCCATGCCCTATACTAACTTTCCACTACGAACATCAGTACCCTGAAGTGGCTCCATAATTCCCAAAGGAGTATTTTTATAACTGTTCATTCATGCAAGATACTCTCATGAATTTCAGAATTTTTATCTACTTGGGAATTAGCATTGTCTTGCCTTCTTCATTCATATCTATTCTTGGTGATTTTTTTCTTCAGTCTGAGAGAAAAGATAGCTTAAGACGTGAGGTTTTGTGAAGGCATTTGGTTTGGGGTGAGGTTTGAGGGCTGAGGGAGGGTGTATACTCAGTAGCCACAGGCCCCTCCTGAGAAGTCTGGAAGCAGAACCATCAAACCAAAGCTGTGGGCTTAAATTCCAGCTCTGGCTATTACCAGCCATGTGACCTTGGACAATGGCTTTGAGCCTATTTGCTCCCATGTAAAATTAGGATAATATGTAACATTTGTATCACAGGGTTGTAGAGAAGACTGAAAAAATTATGTAAAACACTCAACACAATGCCTGGAACATCGTGTGTGTTAGTGTTGATGTTATTAGTGTCTGGGGAAAACAACACTGCTATTGTCCAGTCATGCTCTTGCCAATGTCATTTGCTTTGTTCTCTAGTTCTTAGTAGAGTCACTTTCCCTCTGGCTAAAATGTGTAGTAGCTATTCTGTTTCTATGCCTACTGGCCAGTTAGCTTAGCCAAAGTGAAACTAGGTGTGTATGTGGATATGAAGGTAATAATTTCTAACATGGACACCAATTTTAAATCTAATTTCAGAAGTTCTGTAAAAAAAAACAAATATACTGCATGCTTAGACTAATTTACATGGGAAAAATTATAAGCTAAGTCGTAAGTTATTACTTAATGTTACATGTTAATATCTTTGTAACTCTAAAACTAATTTCCTTAATATGAACTTAGATAATGTTTAATTTGGATAAAGTACACATCATTTTGGATGAGATGGTGTTAAATGGCTGCATCGTGGAAACGAATCGGGCAAGAATTCTTGCCCCTCTACTCATTCTTGATAAAATGTCAGAAAGCTGAATGATGGAAGGCTCTGCCAGACAACATCAACCTGTAGAAGTGAGAATACCATGGAATACCTCTCAACATCTGTAGCCCAAAAAATGTGGAAGACTGCACATTGCAAAATGGGGTGTCCTTCCAAAGACATTTTAAATAGGTGTTTTCCACATTTCCTAAATGGAAAACAAAGCTTTATTTTAAAATATGGTATTCAAAGAAATATTTTCTCTGAACTAAGAGACAAGTTTTGTTTTCTAACCATAAGCATTTTTTCCCCACTTGTTCAAATTTTGTTGAGTTCTGAGGGTAACTTTTTTGTTCTCTGCTTTCCTATGCACATTTAATTCAGGATTAGCAGCATGGGAAGAATGTGTGACAATTATCAGCCAATAAAATTTTAAACACACATAGTACTTTGAATGTTTTCTGAATGCTTTTTCCTTAAAATGATTTAAAAAGTCAAAACTTTACAAAATTGTGTACCTAATAAAAATTGAGAATTAAATTTTATGCCAGTTTCGAAAAGCCTGATAACCATTTTATTGGCACTTGGCAATTACAATGTCATCATGTAATTAATTCACTTATAATGTTACCACCAAAAATGAATGGTTACACATTAAAAGAGAGCTCTTAACAACCATCCTTTAGGCCATATTGTAAATGGTTTGTCTTATTAGAAAACTTATTTGTAAATGAAAATTTAGTTCAAAGTCTAAAAATAGAATGCAAGAGAATATCTCTGTTGAGGTCAGCATGATATGAATCCGAGTTCTCCCCTGCCTCCCTAACTCATTCCTTTGACCCCTTCTCCTGGAATGTCTTGAAGCAAAGAAAACTAAGTCACTATAAAAAAGCAATAACCTGCCTGATCCTTCCAAACTTTTCTAGATGCTTTTGCTACTTAGTCAACAGGAGTATACAGAACTGTCTTAGGTAAAAGCATGTTTATGTGCATACTGGGTAGGAAGGCAGATAAAATGGAAGAAATAGAAATACAGTCTTGGTACATTAAGATATTGTGCCATCCTATGGAATTCTAAGAGTTCTTTCATCTACAACACTCTATCCTCCAAAAGAAAACATAAATGGACATTACAGGTATTGATGATTCATTCAGTACTGTTTGCTTTTTTTCTCTCTCTTGTATATGTGGGGGTGGGGGAAGGATTTCTTTTAAATCTTTCTTTCTAAAAATCTACGTACATATTTAAAGTTTGCATCTATTAAGACCCAGGCAACCAGGCAATAATGGATTTGAAAAGCAAACCTGAGTTGGACTCATTCAGAAAGGCAGAAGAAAGGTTTCTGATGCCAGAACAGCAAATGGTACATGTGTCTAGATCCCCCTTTTGCATTAAGTAGCCAAGGTGTGGGGAAAGCCCAGTCTAGATCAAAGTGCTTTGGAGGTCTAAGACATATTAGTTGGGAAACACTGTCCTAGTTGGTAGGCACTTAATCAGTAGCACATTCAGGTAACTGCTGAAACTGGTACACCAGAAGTAACTAGGGAGTGAACAAAATTAATTTTTAGGTCACACCAAAATAGCACTTGGGTAACATCTTGGCACAGATTTTAGTACCTTTAGAGAATAACAATTAAAAAAAAAAATACGAGGTAGATACCACAGGAAAGAAAGCCGAATAACCTAATACATGGGGAGACCCTAGGAGAGGTCTCCTAACACTTGATTCATGCAAAGTGAACTGTAATAGGACAATCTGTTCTTCTAGGCTGTGTCATAATTTCCTTTCATGTTTACTGCTGAATTGTGAACAGCTTTAAATGGTTTTCACACTCATGAAATTTATGCCTCAGATTGGTCAGCTTTATCTTGAAGACTCCTGACTTTTCATTTACTGAATGTATAAGACTCATCAATTTTACCTGCTACAGCAATGTGCTAGGCCAGGATTCAGCAAACCTCTTCTGTAAAAGGCCAGATAGTAAATACTTGAGGCTTCATGGGCCATATGGTCTCTGCTGTAAACACTCAGTTCTGCCACTGTAGTGTAAAAACAGCCACAGATAATACGTAAAGGAATGAGCATGGCTGTGTTCTAATAAAACTTTATTTATGGACACTGAAATTTGAATTTCATAAAATTTCCACATCATATTATTCTTTTTGTTTTTTAACCACTTAAAAACTTTAAAACCATGCTTAGCACGTGGGCAATACAAAGCAAGCAGCAGGCCATCGTTTGCTGAGCCCTGTGCTAGATTAGTCTTGATAAAAGCTGGGTATTGACAGACATTTTACAGACTTAGATAAATGGCAATACTAAGCACATAAATTGGATTTTAACTCTAACACTAGTATGAAGTTTTAGTCATGCATCCATGACTTTATTGAGACAATCACCACCACTATTTTTTGGATTGAAGCATAGGTCATACATTTAAATACTGCTGTTATGTTTTATTTTAACTTTTATTCTCACAGAGAACTGTGAAACTAACAACAAGATGAGTCATTTAAATGCTGCCACTGATAGCCTGTCACAACATTCTCGCGCAGAGAATAGAAACAGTACGCAAACGGCTGACTGCAGTGGGAGGTATCTCTTCTAATGTAGAAAGGGAATGTACCTTTTAAACAGGTAAATAACAAGCAATTCCAAAATTTTCACTCCTAAAAAAGCCATTTGGCTAATCAGGCCTAGTGACATTTCTTTCACCTAAGGGCACAGATGTGATACATCAAGGGGATTTGGAAAACGGAAATAGAAGAAGCCCTTTTCAAAACCAGGAAATGGCAGTATCCTGGTGGTTTCTTTTCACACTAACACAACATTGAGAAATCATTCTTGGATCTTAGACTTACACATCCCTGCAGATACAAAGGTAAGGAGCAGATGTGGTGTTGAAAAAGTTAACACAAATAACTTGGCCATTCTTAGCTGAAGAATACTCTAAGACAGCACACAACAGTTGGATCACAGGCATGTGAACATATATTTCTTCTAGCTTTCCAGTGTCAGTAAGTGTATTTACTATAGAAAAATACATTTCTAAATGTAGCAATTTCAAAAAACTAAATCTCAGTGATTCAAAATAAAAAATATCTGGTTAAGCTCTTAGGTCTGCTCGTTGCAGTGAAATAGTCACGTGACACAGTTTTGTACGCTGCAAACATTTTAATGATTATTGTTGAGCATACATTTTGGAAATTTTTTACTTCAAACTGCAACAAGTTAAATAAATGTTTATAATATACAAAGAAAATACAACCAAAAGTAAAACTTGCTTTTAAGTGTGCCTTGCATCTAGACCAGTGTTTTTTCTTTTTTCCCCTTAATATACCTTTACTTCTGAGCTGCACAAACACACTTAAGAATTTGATCTTTATAGTACGGCATTTAGGAAATAAAAATATACTCCCACCTCAAAGAAATAAAAAGGTTGTGCATGATTATATGCCAAACAAAAGAGAGAACACTAGAATACTCTGATAGTGCAGGCATCATTAAAAAGGAAAAGAAAAAGCTTGAGATGCTCATTAACTCTCTATGTTTTAAGGAAGCAGGATTTTTGACCGAGTAGCTTAAAAGCCAGCAAAACAGGGATCAGTGACGGCAACTGTAGTGTATGAAGTATGAAACGACAAACTTTACACAAATACACTGTTAGAAATTTACCAGTGAACACTGAAGATCTGAGAAGCTGCTCTTTGGAACAGTCAAGTAGGGACCACCTTTTTCCAGTCACTAAGCCCTTGTAGCAACACACAGTGTTCTGTGCTATATACTTGCTGGCTGGGTAGTTAAAGGATTTGTTTTGTCATTAGCAGCTAACCAACTTATTCCACATGTTCTTAAAGCCTTAATGGTTGAAATAAAGGCAAGTGTCATTAGCGTAGAGGATCATATACTTCTCTGCACACAAACACAAGAGGCTTCACTAGTATTTTAAAAGTCTCTGATGTCTCCCACTTCGAAGCTCAGTTGAGATGAAAGCCTTTCTCCATGGTAGCAGCTAGCAGGCGCTCTCTCATGATCTCCTCCGAAGAATATTCAGGCAACTTCAGATAATGCACACATGTATTCACTGATGGATAGCTTGCATCAGTAGCATCAACCTACAAAAAGAAAAGTGAAAAACAGAAGGCCATGACTTTAAATATTTATTTCTTTCAATCCTGCAGTAACTAAATTCCATTTGGATTCCCTATTAGCTAAGGTTTGTACCTTGCGTACAACTGTGAGCCTGGGATGCAGATTAGCCAGTCCACCTGGGGGTAGAGTTGAGCAACCGGTGGTAAACTGCAGGAATGCTTTCCTTTCATCTGAAGACATGCCACACAAAACCCTCACGAACCTCAGGAAACCAGGGCTAAAAGGAGAAAAATAGAGTTCTACTGAGCTGACGGATGATTTAAATGAAAAACACTACTTTGTAAGCCAGCAATAACCCAAAAAACAATTATCAACATGTGAGAAGAATACTATCTAGAGACTCTTGAGTAAGCATGAAATGAGTGGATTAAGCTACTTTAAAAATACCCTGCAAAGACTGTCTTGTAGTTATAAATGGTTGAGAACTGAAACACTGATGGAGTTCAGGGACCAAATATGCAACAAGGTCAGCAAATCAGAAAACTTCAAAATGCACATGCATAATTAATCCAAATATGGCTAAACTACCAAAGGGGATCTGAAACAATCCGTCTTTATTAACAGTGAAATAAACCATTTCTATATGCCACAACAGGGATGAATTTCATAATCATAATGTTAAACAAAAGAAGCCAGACCTTAAAAAATACATACTGTATGATTTCATTTACTAAAATTCAAATGCAAGCAAAATTGATCAACAGAAATAGTGATTTAATATTAGAAAAGAATATAATGGGCAAGGGCAATTCTTGAGTTGTTTCTTGTTCTGGGTGCCAATACACAGGCGTTTCCCTTTTGTGAAAATTCTCCAGACTGTACATGCAATTTGTGCACTATTATAATTCAATAAAAAGTTGACTTAAGCAAAAAATGCTATGTTAAGTTTAAACTAATTCGTAATACGGTTGACCCTTGAACAACAAGGGGTTTGGACTGCACAGATCCATTTATATATGTAATTTTTTAAGATAAATACAAGAGAGTACTGCAAATACATTTTCTCTAACTCATGATTTTCTTTTTTAATTGTTATCTGAGTATAGTTGACAGACAATGTTACATTAGTTTGAAGTGTACTACACAGTAATTCAACAAGTTTATACATTAAGCTATGTTACCACAAGTGTAGTTCCTCATGAGTCTTTTTTTTTTTTTTTTTACGATTTTATTTATTTGAGAGTGAGTGAGCAAGCACACGAGCAGGGACAAAGTGAGAGGCAGAAGCAGGCTCTCCGCTGAGCAGGGAGCCTAATGCAGGGCTTGATCCCAGGACCCCAGGATCATGACCCAAGCTGAAGGCAGACACTTAACCGAATGAGCCACCCAGGCACCCCCCTCATGATTTTCTTAACATTTTCTTTTCTCCAGCTTATGTTATTGTAAGGATATAGTATATAATACACATAACATATGTACTGACTGTTTATATTATCAGTAAAGTTAGTCAAAGTAGGCTACTAGTAGTTAAGTTTTTGGGGTATCAAACATACGGATTTTCAACTGTGCCCCTAACCCCTACATTGTTCAGGGGTCAACTGTATTCTCTCATTTATGTTAATTTGGAAACATTTAAAAAGAAAAAGTACTATAGGGCCTGTAGTCTTAAAAAATATCAGTGGTATGAAAGAAAAAGAAAAAAAACAGCTAAAGAACTGTTTCAGATTAAAAACCTATCACAAGATAACCCTATCACAACCAAATGCTATTTCCTGACAATGGGCAGTGGTGGTGAGGGGAATGCTATGAAGGACATTATTGGAGTAAACAACGAAACTGGAATATGGACTAAAGATCAGCTAACAGTATGAATTTGCTAGTGAATGTGGATACATGGGAGAATATCCATATTTTTAGGAAATGCACACTCTATCACAGAATAAAGGCACATGATATATGCGACATTCTCAAATGGTTCAGAAAAAAATGGTGCACACACACATATATATCACGTGTGTGTGTATATAAATAGATAATGTAAAAGAAGTATTAAGTACAGTTGAATCTGGGTAAAGATGATATGGGAATTCTTTCAACTATTCAACTTTTCTATTTGAAAAAAAAAATTTTTTTTTTTTTTTTAAGATTCCACTCACTTATTAGAGAGAGAGAGATCACAGAGGCAGAAGGAGAGGGAGAAGCAGATTCACCACCGAGCAGGGAGCCCGATGCAGGGCTCGATCCCAGGACCCTGAGACCATGACCCGAGCCGAAGGCAGACACTTAACTGACTGAGCCACCCAGGCGTCCCTCTATTTGAAATTTTTTTAAAATAAAAGTTAATATATGGGGCACCTGGGGCTCAGTCAGGTTAAGCGCCTGCCTCCAGCCCGCACCAGCCTCCCTGCTCAGTGGGGAGTCTGCTTCTCCCTCTGCCTCTCCCTCCTGCTCATGCTCTCTCGCTCACTCTCTCTCTCTCAAATAAATAACATCTTTAAAAAAAAAAAAAGGTTAATATAAAATGAAGCCTAAGGGCTTAAAGGGGTGCCTGGGTGGCTCAGTCAGTTAAGCATCTGTCTTCGGCCCAGGTCATGTTCCCAGGGTCCTGGGATCAAGCCCTGCATCGGGCTCCCTGCTCAGCGGGGAGTCTGCTTCTCCCTCTGCCCACCCCCACTGTGCTCTCTAGCTCTCTCTCAAATAAATAAAATCTTTTTTAAAAAAATGAAGCCTAACGGTTTACTATTTACCCAATTTTTAAAATAGTCAACAATTAAAATGGAATCTTAATACCAACAAAGACTCGGTTGTCTTTTTGTGTAAACTCAGCCTTATCAATGGATATGAAAACAGCTTTCTCACTTCACTAAGTCGTAGTTCTTTAGAGAATCTGCCATTTGATTTTGGGACATAAACTATTTTGTTGACCTTAGAAAATAACCAATACATACCTGTCACGTGTATAACCTAACTTAGGTTCAGTATAATTAATAATATCCTCTGCTGCCCAGGATGGTGATTGGTTTCCACAAAGTATCATCTGGACTTCTTCATGGCTGAAGGAACTTAATTTCTCCATTGGAAAAACTTTGTTAAACCCATCTACATTATACACAGCAAAAAAATAAAAACAAAACACACAACTCAATTTCTAAGTTACAATTTCAAAATACCAAATTTCAAATCAAAATAGCTAATATCAACTAAATGGACATAATATGAATAAAATATTAGTAAATGCTTGAAAAAACAAATATAAATTAAAATAGCTTGAAATCAAAGCTGTGCTAAGGTTTTAAGTACAGAAATTTCACTTAATACTGCAAATGTGAACAGAGATATTCAGTCACTATGGTCAGTAGCCAAATTCTAGTAATTTCTTAACCAGCTGTTTGTGTCATACAAGGCTATCCAAAGCTATATTCTCGTTTTCAAAACTAGTATGTGATGAATAGTCTAATATATTTTGCTTCAATTCTCACCTAAGAACTTAGGTTCTAACTTGGCTTAATTCATGTAATGTGTAAAGTACGCAACCTATGTCCACATACAAATGAAGAAATGGAGGCCAAAAGTGAGTCCCCCATTACTCAGGAGGAGCAAGTTGAGGGTATACCACAGCTGGAGAATGTTCCAACCTGTTCTGGGTACTCTGTGGGACCTAACTATCTGGAAGACAGGAAACTAGAGGGCAAATCTAGAGATTACCTACAATTCTTGACAAGAGAAATACCTTAATTTCAAATGTCTCAAAGTAAAAGGAGAAAGATTAAGTTAAAGAGCCCTAAAAATTACCTCTAAAGGCTTCCATCTGTTTCTGAATACCCGTATGCATACAAAAGTCAAACATCAAATCCACATATTCTTCTGCATTATCCATTGTTATCATCTACAAAGGAAAATTTGCCAACATTGTTGTTAATATCTAGGAATATTTCAGTAGCACCTACTACAACTGGCCTCATTAAGAAGATGTTCTGAACTTACAACTACATCAAAAACAAAATTTTTATTACCTCATCTTCCCCACTTGGCTTGAGATCCACAGCTGTAAAACCATATATTCTTGAGGAAGGGCAAAACTGGAAATTTAAACTGGGAAGACAAAAAGGACTGGATTAACATTCAGCTACCATTGGTGTTTAATTTTTAAAACACTGCTGCCAAAGGGGCACCTGGGTGGCCAGTTGGTTAAGCGTCTGCCTTCAGCTCAGGTCATGATCCTGGAGTCCTGGGATGGAGCCCTGCATCGGGGTCCCTGCTCAGGGGGAGTCTGCATCTCCCTCTGCCCCTCCCCCAACTTGTGCTTTCTCTCTCAAATAAATAAAAATCTTTAAAAAATAAATAAAACACTGCTGCCAAAACCATGAACCCCCACTCCCCGCACCCTTCCAACAAAAAACAGTATACCAGCTTAGATGTTAAGTAGGAGGACTTTTGAATGCAAAACCCCTGTGCACAAAAACTATTAGAACAACCATTACCAAACCTGGCTTTGCAAAGATTGCAGGAAACCACCACCTTTCCATATTTCACTTCTCTCTTATGGCACAAAATTAACAAAGTAAGGGTTTTTGCAATAAATTACGACAGCAGCATCTTTATTTTGTTTTTTTCAAGGAGAAACTACTGCTTCACTAAAGTTATTCACGCTCTGTCCCTACCCTGAAATCAAACCTTGAATATATAGTAAATTATCAAACAAAACCTCTCAAAATTATCAACTAAGAAAGAAAGAAGAAGAAAGCAAGACTTTCAGTCAGCCCAAAATCATAGTAAAACATACTAAGGGTATAATAATTACATGTATACAAATTAACAGAGTGTTATCAAAAGATGTGTAGCATTTGAGTTAGCTAAGCCATTGGGCATAAGGCCTACATACAGACCAAACTATTTTGAGCACTGCCAAGTACACTATATTAACTAGCCATGATTTCTCAAAATATTTTTGGCTTTGGACTTTCCTGTAAGATATATACATTAATCATATTTGATAAATCAGATAATCTTCCAGAGATGTGATGATTTAATACACTATGTTCTGGTATTCTGAGTGTTGTCTTTATAATATGAACTATTCAAAGATTCAAATCAGTAATATTTCCTACAGCATATTATTGTTCTTAACAGACTACTGAACTCATACACTGCCTATTAGTGGGGACAAAGAAACAAAAGCTTTAAAACTTATTCATCCATTAGGTTGACGAACATGTATAAAAAACTTACCCTAAATCCTCTATGCTAAGTGGAGGCCCAGAACCTGATGGATTCTTTAGCACTAGTTCCTGTAATTTCGTGTTCTTCTCATCTTCAGAAAGACCTTTGTTGCTTAAAATCTGACGCCTCTTGACAGCAAGGTCTTTAATTTCTTTTAAAAATCTGGCTCTGTGTGGGTTTACTAGTTCAAAGTCTTCCCAAGTTAAAATTCCATTAAACCAAGCTGGGGGTTTTGGTTTGGGGGGATCTAGAATAAACTCTGATTTTGAATCCTCTTCAAAGCTTCCTACTGAGAGTGAATCATGACCTTCTTCTGTAGAAGCTTCAGACTGACTTTCAGTACAGTGTAAGTCTCTATCACTTCGTGACTCATAAATTAATTTACTCATATTGCTTTTAATGTCACCCATACACATAAGTTTAAAGAAAGGTTTAGAAATAGGTAAGTCCACAAGTCTATTGTCTTGAATGCATTTGGCCAAGAAAATTCCAAGGAAATGAAAGAGTTTCGTGATCCTTTCAAGCTCATCACTGTCTTGTGGAAATGGTGCTGTGAACAGTCCACATGATCTCTGCACATAGTACCCGGGAGGTTTCAATCCACCCCCAAGATCAACCTAGTGTTTTAGAGGGAGAAATACAAATAAAATTAGATAAAAGATGCATAAATATTAAACATCTTCATCAATTTAGTTAAAGTATTTATGTATACACCTTTTATTAAATAGTTTTTGGTGACTGAGAGAACATTTTAATAGCATCTGATCAATAATAAAAAAGAGAGTCAGAAAGCCTGGCTTAAATTCTGAAAGCATAACCTATTTTTAATACTAAAAGCAGAATCACAAATAATCACAAAATGGGAACTAAATCTTACATGACGAGATTCATCATCTGGAAAATTATCATCACAAAGCCAAGCTCCCAGATCAGTTCTCTGGAATTCTGCTGCCACCAGAGCATAAAACTCTAATGTAGGGCCCAAGCCAGTTCCTTCTTCTCCTAAAAATTCAACCTAAAATGTAAACAAATTGTGGGGACAAGTGAGCTTAAAAAATTTTTCTTAAATGATCCCATTCTTGCCAATACGTCTTTTTTTTTTACAAGAGTAGAATTTTTTTTTTTTTTTAAGATTTTATTTATTCATTTGAGACAGAGAGATACAGAGAGAGAGCGACAGCATGAGCAGGGGGAGAGGCAGAGGGAGAGGGAGAAGCAGACTCCCCGCTGAGCCAGGAGCCCCATGTGGGACTCCATCCCAGGACCCTGGGATCATGACCTGAGCCGAAGGCAGACGCTTAACCATCTGAGCCACCCCAGGCACCCCGCAACAGCAGTAGAATATTATACACAACACATTATAGACAACACAGAAGTTTTATTCCAGTTTTTCTAAAAAGTGTATTTGTTGTACACCACTGCATAAACACTGTGGTGAGCATTGTTCACCACATTGTTCATTAATTTATTTCTCACACCAACCCTATAAAATAGATTTTCATCTCATTTTTTTACACCAAAGGAAACCAAATTTTAGATAAAAAGATTACATCATTTGCTTGAGGAAAAAGTGGCATACAGCTGTGTATGTATGTCTATGTAACACTAAAACCTAAACTCTTGCACTTACTCCTGACTTTAGGCAATCACTTTAAAGGCTTTTATCCATACTCTACACACTCCACAAGTGATTTGAGGCAGCTTATAAAAACATATAGTGCATGGTTAAAAAAAATAAAATAATTGAGGTTGATCTAGTTTGAAGAATAAGATGAAGGCAAAGAGAGTTTAAAGTGAAAGCCCTAAAAGCCTTATATATTTTCTAGAGATGTATCATATTTGCCATGATCAGTCTCTGATTCAAATGATAAACTAAGGGACACCTGGGTGGCTCAGTCAGTTAAGCGTCTGCCTTCAGCTCAGAGCCTGATCTCAGGGGGGATGAGGATCAAGCTCCACACTGGGCTCCCTGCTCAGCAGGGTCTGCTTTCCCCTCTTCCTCTGCCTCTATCCCCTACTTGTGCTCTCAAACGAATAAATAAAATAAAATCTTAAAAAAAAAAAAAAAAGATAAAATAAGCAGCTGGTTCACATTTATGAGAGAGATTTCTTCCATTGTCCCTCATATAGGGAATAACAGGTATATAGGATATAATCAACAATGCCTACAGTAACATCTCTATAGTAAGGATATTAAATTTTATACTGTTATTTGCCATAACATCTCTCAACACAGGCCAATGATATAATGCCAAGCACAGTCTAACAATATTATAAAACAGTATGCTCCCAAATTGCAGATATCTAATAGCAGAGCTTAATATAAAGGTAAAATACAGAGTATCAAAAAGAATCCTTAGTGAGTGCCATTATTCGGCTCAGGCTTTGTTAAGAAAGGAGTAATGTCCTTCAAAAAGACCAAGCACTTTCCCACCTCAAGAGTGAAGATACTCTTTGCTGCTCATCAAATCACAAGATCCTGACCTCTGAAGAGGTGAGCTGACATCCTCTTATAAAAGATGCTCTATCAGAGGGAAAGGCCTTGCATAGAGGGCAGAGAAATCCCTCTCCATTTTTCATTTCTATCTAATGTAGTTTGCATGCTGTGGAACATACAGGTTTGCTGGTTTTCTGTCATTCCTGCATACTAAAAGAAATTATATGTGAGTGAGGTACCTCAAGAACTGATTTCCGATCTGCATGTATTTGCATGACGTTCTCAGCCCATTCCATCAGTGATTCACCACGTGGGACTTTTACTCTTTCATGCTTGAGACGACCCACTCGAAACTCTCCAGGATCATCTCGCCTGACAGTACTGGTGGTCCTTGTTCTTTCCACAGTGGCTTCACGTCGGTTTTGTAACCACACTATTGCTCTAAAATAGAAAAATATTTATGTAGCTCTACCGTTCAGTAATAGTTAGAATGTACTATTAAACCAGCAATGTAATTCAAAGATTTAACTATTCTTTTTAAAAATAGTATTTTATTAGGCGACAGAATTAGATTTTCTTACTGCATAAATTGTTGCTTCTTCTCTTAAAACATATAAACCCCTTTATTATTTTCCTAAACAAACTGAGAAAATACTTAGGTATTTTTCCTCTTTACTTTAGTAATTAACAGATCAAAATAAAGGTCTGTGGTCCCAATCCCATGTGACACAAAAATATACAAAAACTGGGGATGAAATGAACAGCATACGGAATACAGTCAATAGGATTCTAATAGCATTGTATGGCTGACAGACAGTTGCTACACTTGTGAGCACAGCATAATGTACACAGTTGCTGAATCACTGTTGTACACCTTCCATTAATGTAACATGGCCTGTCAACTATATTTCAATTTAAAAAATAGACAAACTTATGATACATAAAAATACAAATGACTGGGTGGCTCAGTCGTTAAGCATCTGCCTTCAGCTCAGGTCATGATCCCAGGGTCCTGGGATCGAGCCCTGCATCGGGCCCCCTGCTCCGTGGGAAGCCTGCTTCTCCCTCTGCCTCTGCCCCTGCTTGTGTTCCCTCTCTCGCGGTCTCTGTCAAATAAAATCTTTAAAAAAAAAAGAATAAAATTAGGGGCGCCTGGGTGGCTCAGTCGTTAAGCACCTGCGTTCAGCTCGGGTCATGATCCCAGGGTCCTGGGATCGAGCCCTGCATCGGGGCCCTTGCTCCGCGGGAGGCCTGTTTCTCCCTCTCCCACTCCCCCTGCTTGTGTTCCCTCTCTCGTGTCTCTGTCAAATAAATAAATAAAATCTTAAAAAAAAAAAAATTATAAATGAACATTTCTTAACTATGGAGAAACTAAAAAAATCATTAAGCTATCTTTGTTACTGTGATACAAACTGAAAGCCATCATTAAAATGCTACTGATTTTAAAATATTTTCTTTTGGGGGCACCTGGCTGGCTCAGTTGGTAGAGCATGTTAACTCCTGGTCTTGGGGTTGTAAATTCGAGCCCCATGCTGGGTGTAGAAATTACTTAAAAATAAAATCTTTAGGGGCGCCTGGGTGGCTCAGTTGGTTAATCCTCTAACTCTTGATTTCAGCTCAGGTCATGATTTCAGGGTCATGGAATCGAGCTCTGCTTCGGGCTCTGTGCTCAGCATGGAGTCTGCTTGTCCCTCTCCTTCTGCTCCTCCCCCTGCTCATGCTGTCTATCTCTAAAATAAATAAATAAGGGTGTCTGGGTGACTCAGTCGTTAAGCGTCTGCCTTCGGCTCAGGTCATGATCCCAGGGTCCTGGGATCGAGTTCCACATTGGGCTCCCTGCTGGGTGGGGAGTCTGCTTCTCCCTCTTTTTCCCTCTCCCCACTCATGAACTCTCTCTCTCCTCCAAATAAATAAGATCTTTAAATATGATCAACTGCGCAGGGAGGGTTGGGATCCCTAACCCTGACATTGTTCAAGGGTCAACTGTAGGAGAGCATGTATCCAACTAGAAATAAAAAAAAACATTTAAACACTACAACTCTTTATAAGAAAACAAGATAATATATTCCTTCCATCAGTCTTGACATAAAGTATATTTGTACATTTTGAGCTTATATAACACTAAAAAAAATATAAAAGTACTTCCTACCTTGATGCACCAAATGCTGTACACGTGAAATAAAGCTGTCTAGTTTCAAACGGTATTAGGAAAGGACACTTGCTGGTTAACTGTTCACACCAGTCTGGTAGAGCCCCACTTGCCAATGCCAGCGGTTCCTGCAAATTAACAAATAACAATGTCATCATACAATTATTTAAAAAGAAAAACAGGAGTCACTTCTTAAAAGTAATGAAAGAAATTAATGCCAATGGACCATATGGCCTAAATCAACGAATCACAGATTAACAGTAGAGATGGTGGAAAGTAGAAAACGAAGAGACAATACTTTGAAAGTCTAAAAGTTACAGACTAACGAGTTCAACTATCTGATTTTATTACCTCAATCTGCTGCAAGATTTTTGTTGTGATTTTTTTGCTAGTGAATTCATCTGGTGGAAAAGTAAACTGAGGCTGCTCATCGCCTTCTGTAAAATTAATAAAATTAATAAAGATATAAATAAACGGACTTCCTTTTAAAAATGACACAGAAATGAAACAAGGATTCTTACAGACCTTCTTGGGATATTCTTGAATAAGGGTCACTTGCAACTATATAGAGAATACGCAGAAGCTGAAGAACATCTTCTACTCCGCAAGAATTCTGTCCATTGCCAGCTTTGGCCTGAGGTTGTTCTTTTGCCAAGTTAAGAATATCACTACTCTGAAGAGAGGAAATGGCCCCCTGGTTTAATCCAGACTTTGTTCCATGCTCACAAAAATCCTATAGAAACAAGAGAAAAGCACTGTATCATCCTATAAGTATTTGAAAATGCTGAAATTTTTCAAATTGCCTTCTTTTTAAATAAAAACACTATTACCCAAGTTGAAAATCAATATGTTCTAAACCATTCCCAAATAAACTATAACCACCATAAGCCACAGTTAAAACCATGTACTTATTAGATCCAATACCACATATCACATTTGAAGTTTTAGTACTTGGCATATTAACAATGTTAATTCAACCTCATTTTTTAAACATTGTCCCAATGAACCTCTTTTTCTTAAGAATCTTTAAAAGCTGCAAACAAAGCACAAAGCCATTCCCAATTGTGTTTTGATGCCAATATATACCTTATATGCAGCTATGAGCTGAGAACAATTTCTGTTTTTCCTAATACTTTTATTAGTGCCAGTTAATTTCCAGTGGCGCAGGAAAGCGGCGTCTGCGTTCTTCTGCAGGTAGGTTATCAAGTCATTCTTTGGTAATTCATCAGTGCCAAGGTACTGTTCCACATGCTCTACAGACCAACAACCCTACAATAGGAAAAACCAAATGTTGGCCTTTCCTGATTAAAAGTCTATGCTATTTCACATGCATTACATAAGGTAGCTTTAAAATCATGCATTTAACCTCATCTAAAGAATTCCATGTTAGTGATTTTTTCCCCTCAAATGTTCAATTAAAACAGTGTTAGTTTTTCTTTATTTTCCCTTTTTTTCACTAAGTAGCCAAGAAGATCCATTTAAATATCACTTACCATTTTTCCATTTTCCTTCTCTTTGTCAGAATCCTTCATTTCTCTGTACATGATTCTAAACATGAAGATATTATTCACATTAATTCATAAATCAAATGATCTGTGGTTATTTCCAATAAGGCTTCAATTCTTTAAAAAATACATGAATGATGTCATTCATTAGCCATATGCTTAAACATTAAACTCAGGGACAATTTATTTAAAAAAAAAATTCAATTTGTTAAACATGGGGGAAAGCAGCAGAAATCATATTCCTGAAAGAGTTATTATTTATAAATTTAGCATAATTGCAAAGATTGCATATGTTTGTCAAACCTAGGATCTTTAAAGATATGAAGTAATATGCTATATCATGTGTTATAACTTTCATTTATTGTTGTAAAAATAAAAAAAGATGAGAAATGGTTTGCGCTTCTATGTCTAGATGGAAAAAAAGGATAAGAAAAACAAGGACCAGGAGCCTTTATGTTCACATAAGGCAGTGGAGATAAAATCTGAAACTCCAATAAACACTGAACAGGGTGGGGAGAAATATCATGATAGCCTTCTGTTTTATCTCAAAAGGATCTAGATCACTTTATTAGACATTACATAAAATTATCAATGATGTTAAGAGAACATCAGAAAAATAAAAGTAAGATTTACAGGATGATTAAAATTTCATTTACATATTAAGCTGTTATTAAATAATAAATAATAATTAATAATTATTATAGGTAATACTGAGCACCCAGACAATACTGAAAACCCTTTACATGTATTAATTCACTGATTCCTCACAACCAGGCTCATTTTACTGATTAACAGAATGAACCACCAAAACATTAAATGTGCCCAAGGTCATTATTAATTACTTGTTCAATGAATGAATGAACAAAGAGCGGTAGGCTTAACTCGCAAACCCCAAAACAAAAAACAGAAAATATTTAGTACCTCATACACAAATGCAAAGAGTTCAACATTTATTACATAAGATACTAGTCTAGTTTATTTCTAAAGTTACTTTCAGTTGAAACCTTAAAACATTCTACCTCAGGAGTCAGAAATGCTCTTATCCCGTTGTAAACCAAGAGAACAAGAACCAAATATTTTCTGTTTCTATAGTAAAAAAAATACAGAAATACAATGCTTCTAGGCTGATGCATCATGAAAATACCTACTTAAAACATTATGTTAAAATCTCTTACGTGTATGTTGGCTCCCAAATACGCCTAAGTTTATCTGATTTCACACTGCCATTACAGGACAATTGAAGCAATTTTTGTACATAGTAAAAAATGGTTGATCTGAAATTGGTGAGTGGTAATTCAACTTCACGAGTTGTTCCAAGACCTGTTACTTTCAAAGTGAGGGCTAATCGAGGTGACGGAGTACATTCAACTTCTTCCAAGAGCTCTGAATGAGGTGTTCCTAAAAATATGGAAGACATCAAAAACAATTACACTATAGCAAGCAGGCCATAAGGAACACTGCACCGGGAGACAAAGCTACATGAAATCTAAATTCTTCTGTCAGATATTAATAAAGACATCAGCTACTTAAGACTCTTCTGGCCTCAACAATTTTTTTTAGAAAATGGGAACAACATACCTAGGTTACTTAAAGACAGAGCATTAAAGCTGAATTTATGCATATGATAGGGATCTCTCATTGTTTTAAGAAAACACATGCTAACTATATGAATATTTCAGAAACATTTTATTCTTATAAATCAGAACACTAAAATTATTCATAGCTCTACATACAGAGAAAACCACAGACTCTAGTCAATGAACTGTCAACCTTCTGCTCACATTGAATGAGTGGATTGTGAGGTACCGCCCCCCGCCACACACAAATAGGTACATAGTGTATTTGGTGGTGTACTCTTCTTTTTCATTAGCTCAGCAATTTTTTCCTCATACCATGATATAATCTTCTGAAGTATTAATTTTATTCATTGCATGACATTCCATTAAACGAACCATATCCCTGTTACTGGAAATAATGAAGGTCATTTCCAATTTTCTGACAATATAAATAATACTTGTGTAGTCATCAGTGTATATAAATCTGGGTGCAGAGCCAGTATTTCTTTACTATAGATTTCTGGTAGTAACAATATGAAATATATTGCTGAAGAGCTCTACAGAAAATCTGTACCTGTTTATATTCCGTAGCATAGGTTTTTCTTTTTGAAGGGATCTTGGAACATCTTGATCAGCCTATATGCAAACTCACCATAGAACATCATACTATGAAGCATACTTACTTCCCCCTATTTAACACAGGTATCGTTCTATCAAGTAAAAAATACATTCCATACTTAATCAACATTTAAGTCTTCCTTAAGGATAATATACTGATTACTATAGCTGATGTTTATTGAGGCATACATCAGGTACCATGCTAAGCACTTTATATATTTTACCTCATTTAAAGCTTTTAACTACCTTGTCAAATAGAAACTATCACTTTCTCCATGTAAGAGATGAGAAAATTCAGGCTTACACAAATTAGGTGATTTGCTCAGTATATTAGCATCTTATTGCTGTTTTAATAAATTACCATAAACTGGGTGGTTTAAAACAACCAGTTCTAGAAGGGAGAAATCTTAAATGGGTTGGCAGGGCTTTGCTCCTTTTGGAAGCTCTAAGAATCTGTTTGCTTGTCTTTTCGAGCATCTAGAGGCTGCCCGTATTCCACAGTTCATGGCCCCTCAACACTCTGATCTCTGCTTCCTGTTGTCAAATCTCCTCTGTCTCAGACCCTCCTGTATTCCTCTTAAGCTTTTTTTTTTTTTAAATTTATTTACTTACGTTAGAGAGAGAGAGAGAGAGCAAGAGCGCAGAGGGGGAGAGGCCGAGGGAGGAGACAGTCTCAAGCAGACTCTACACTGAGCACAGAGTCCGACGCAGGGCTGATTCTCATGACTCCAAGATCACGACCTGAACCGAAACCAAGAGTCTGACACCCAACCAACTGCGCCACTCTGGCGCCCCCCCATCCTGTACTGCTTTTATGTGGACACTAATGTTTACACTGGGCCTACCTGGATAATCCAGGATAATTCCCCCATCTCAAAATCCTTAATTTAATCTCGTCTGCAAAGCCTCTTTTGTCATATTAAGGTAACCTATTCACAGATTATGGAGGTCAGGACCTGCATACCTTTGGGGATCATTAGTGTGCCTATTACAACCAAAACAGAGTTGTGAGAGAGAGTTACCAGGCTGACTAACTCAAGACCATAAATGAAACTACTATACAACTTTCCAAAGTAGAATAGGAATAATCCATAGCAATTTTGATCCAGTAGAATAGAGAATACAAATTATCTACCTTTAAATGAGCCTTCCTTTAAAAATTACGCAAACACAGAACACCGTGTTTTTAAAGAACTGCAATTTGCTCCTTTAAAAATAATCTGTATCAGGACGCCTGGGTGGTGCAGTGGTTAAGCGTCTGCCTTCGGCTCAGGTCATGATCCCAGGGTCCTGGGATCAAGCGCCGCATCAGGCTCCCTCTGCTCCTCCCCCTGCTTGTGCTCTCTCCCTCTCTCTCTCCAATAAATAAAAAAAAATCTTATAAAAAATCTGTATATTTTAAAGACTTGTGGCTGATATGTAGTTTTTTTTCTTTTTTTGAAAACTTTTACTTATAACCTGCATATATAAGTAGCCACTTACTTTCCTGATTACATATAACATTATTTGATATCTGTTCAAAATAAATCACAAAACTAAAATACACAGTACCTGGGGGTGGAATCTCTAGATCAGTCGTCTGCTGGACATTAGTACGACCAGGTCTAGGATCAAAAGCAGGAACCAAAGCAGAAAACTGCCGCTTGAGTACATAATCATCATCCCATGTTCTCCGACGTCCTCCTTTAGTTTCATACTCCTCTTCTTCCTGTTAAAATTCCACATATAAACAAGATAAAACTTTTCAATATTGCAAAAGTGATGTGCTATCTTTAAAATGAGGTGTATGTTAAATACGTCTCTGTATAGCTATTACACTTCCTTATTTAGCCATATTTCTTACAACAAAACGAGCCAACATAAACATATATAGGCATATACATTTAATGATTTTTTTAAAAGATTTTTTAAATTTATTTGATGGGGAGAGAGACCGCGAGAGAGCGAACACAAGTAGGGGGACTGGGAGAGGGAGAAGCAGACTCCCCGCTGAGCATGGAGCCCGATGCGGGGCTCGATCCCAGGACCCTGGGATCATGACCTGAGCCAAAGGCAGCCACTTAACTGACTGAGCCACCCAGGTGCCCCCATTTCTTAATGATTTAAGCTTACCAAAAGTAAGATGCCTTAGTGGTGGTTACACTAATCCAAACATGATAAAATGAGAAAGAACCATATACATATACTGTATCAGTGTCAATTTCCTAATTTTGGTATTAGACTCTAATTAGGTAAGGGGTAACCACTGGAAGAAAGTGGGCAAAAGGCACAAGACCACTCTACTATCTTTGCAACTTCCTGTGAGTCTGTGAACTTATAATTATTTTTAAGTAAGTTGCTTTCAAAAAATGTAAGTAAATTTTATTACATACTGAATTATATACAAAATATAATGCTTGGAAGATGCTTTAAATAACTATGGGGCAAATAAATCAAACATGTTTGACAAAGTGTTGGTAACCATTACTCTCAGATGATGGATTCTTGGGGATTCATTGCATTATTCTTTCTACTTTTTTTTTTTGATTGAGAATTCTTTCAGGCTCCAAGTTTTTAACATCCATCTTAAACAGAACCGAAAGACAACTGGAAATAAAGACCAGCTTTCTTGAAGTGCAAGGGCTCGAATACTTCACTGTGGCTACTTATTTTTTTTAAAAGTGCACATTGAAAGGTAGGACTAGAGTTATTACACTAGTTTAAAAACAGGCCAAGTACTGGCACTGCGTCCCTCTCATGCTAGCATTGGTCATTCAACATAATAAATGTTAAACATGTGGGTCTGCATCTAACTCACAGAGAGCATGTTTAAAAATTTCCATAATGAAAGTTTTTTTTTTTAAAGATTTATTTATTTGACAGAGACATACAGAGAGAGCACAGACAGAGCGGCAGGCAGAGGGAGAGGGAGCAGCAGGCTCCCCACTGAGCAGGGAGCCCGACACGGGGCTCCATCCCAGGACCCTGAGATCATGACCTGAGCTGAAGGCAGCCGCTTAACCAACTGAGCCACCCAGGTGCCCCCATAATGAAAGTTTTTTAAAGGAACATTTTCTTCTCCTCTTCACTTTTACTATCAACAAAAGAAGAGAACAATGAATTTAAGTGTTGTAAATATCTGATGTAATAAATAACAATTATGTATATACTTAAACACACACACATAGCCCCTCATATTCCGAACACTTATTTAGCTTTTTTTTTTTTTAAAGATTTTATTTATTTATTTGACAGAGAGAGACACAGTGAGAGAGGGAACACAAGAGGGGGAGTGGGAGAGGGAGAAGCAGGGAGCCCGATGCGGGGCCCGATCCCAGGACCCTGGGATCATGACATGAGCCGAAGGCAGACGCTTAACGACTGAGCCACCCAGGCGCCCTTTAATTAGCTTTTATAACACATCAAATGGACATATATGCTGACACCTCTGTAGCCAGAATGTTTGTGTTTTAGTCCTAGATCCAAAACTTCTACGTGTGACCTTTACCAATCACTTCATCTGAAAGTTAGGGCTAATAATAACCCTCAAAAGGTTGTTGAAAGGACTGAATTAGTTGTTAATACATGGAAAGTATTGGGCGCCTGGGTGGCTCAGTTGGTTAAGCGACTGCCTTCGGCTCAGGTCATGATCCTGGAGTCC